TTCTGTGCTTTACTGTAATCCTACAGTTTGCCTATGCACAGATCAGGTTTCTGTACTTTTAATTTCCTGCACTCCTTGCAACTGTTTTGGTAAACTCATGCCTCTCTTACTGCTTTTCACCCTGTTAATTCTGCAGTTGTTTTAAACGGCATTCTGTATGTTACCATTAATGATCTGAGGATTCTTTTTTTGAATTCCTTATAAACTCTGGGAATAATATCCAGTCCTGAAATTAGTTACCATTTATTTTATTGAGTTGTTCTAAATCAATCTTCTGCCCTTTCAATCTGAAGATTCCTCCATCTACTTCCAGAAAACAAGACCATCTGAAGTTGTTGAAATGAATGTAAGAAATAATGCTGGAAAACTGATGGCTGAAGTAAATTTATAGTAGAATATAATGTAAGGTGTTACCAAAACTGTAGTAAATTTGCATTTCTACTTCATAGACTATTTAGCTGAAAAAGATGAGTCATGAATCTTGGCCTAGGATTTCTTCAGCCAAGGATTAATAATTCATAATTTATTTTCCTTGTTTGATGGATTCACCATTTTCTTTCCTTAATGTGTCCATTAGTTAATGCGAGATTTTTCTTTTAAATTAGAATGCATGAATTTAGTGCATACAGAAATTTGCTTTAGGGGAACCAGAGGCGTCTTGAGCTCTTTTGAAGAGAGAATGAATTAAAGGGAGGGGAAGTAGAATATCTTAAAAGGCTGTTACTGTCCTTTGAGAAGAAAAATTCTTTGACTTAAAAAATTAAAAGCAGTTATTTAAGAACAACAATTTTGATTTTTGTGCTTTAAACAAGGTGCCATCTTTAGAAAAATGGCTAGATTCATCAGGTTAAAAATCTCTTAGCGAAAACCTCAGTATTTTTTTTTAATTCTGAGTAAGAAACTAAGGTGGTATATATTGATGTATCTTGGAAAGCCTTTGTAATTGAAAGTAACTAAGTATTTGTCTCTGTGACCTCTTCAAAATCATGTCCTAAGGGCAACACAGGTATAAAATTGGTAGGAGATCAATGTTTTTTTTTTAAAAATAGATGACTTTGGATTTGTTGCTTTTTTTATTGATGAAAACAGTCTGAAAACTCTTGGAATAGATAGATGTACAAGGATGGTTTCCTTTGACCTGCTTAAAAAATTGACATTAATCACTGGTTTCCATTTCTGTCCAGTTCTCTTGTCACAATTTGCTGGATAAATGATTTTGTATGAATGATGTACATCTAAAATGTAATTTTCTTACAAAAAAAAAAAATCACCTGAGCAAACTGACAGCTGAATCAGCTTTGATCTTAAACTAGATCTAGCGGGAGTGGGCAGAAAACTACAACTGCTGAGACGGCAACATGAAATAAATGAGGAATTTGTGAGAATGAATTATCTATTGAACTCTGACTTTATCCTTATCAAGATCCAAAATGTGTTGACATAGGTAATGCATTTAATTTCTAGTACTCTATCCTCTAATTAAAGCAATAATGATATTTGCAACTACATTTCTAATAAATACAGTTGGGATGTACAGAAAGACGAAAAAGATACTGGATCTCTTAAGTTGGAGGAGGTTGTTTTACAAATAGCAGGGAACAGTCTACATTACTGGTCACTCGTTAGGTTCTATAGTGGTGATTAGAAATCCGGGTGCTTTGTTATTTCTCCAGGGAATAGATCAGTAGAATAACACCATATGCATAATGGCAAAGTCCTTGAAAAATATCCCTCTGGTTACAGTGTGCAGTGTTATGAAATTAGTACTATAAGCAGCAGAATCAACCAAGCAGCTGACTAAAGAGCTATTTTTATAAAAGTCTTGCAAAAGGCAGTGTTTAACTATAACAGTCTTAAAATACTGAACCCTTTTCTCAGATACTTGGAATTTTGTCATGCTGTATGTTATCTATAAAAATGTGATTAATTTAGTCAACATGGGACTGATTCCTCAATACTCACTGTCTTTAAATCCATGCTTCTCAAGTAAAATGGAAGCAGACACTCTGAGAGAGTTGTGGTTTTTTCTTTTGTGTTTTTTTTTTGTTTGTTTGTTTGTTTTGTTTTGGTTTTGTTTGTTTGTTTTTTTGTTTGTTTTGTGGAGATGCAATAATAACAGCACACATACAGATGGTAACTAAAATTGGCCAGAAAAGGGTATTTCAGTTTTGTGGACAATTCTGGGTGGTTGACATTTTTTTTCATTCAGTGCTGGAACAGAATGTTGACATGGTGAAACTTAGGCAAAACAGAACAAGTTGTTTCAGGGTTCTTTTTTTTGTGCAAATGTGGTTCTTCCCCAGCCGGGGTCTGCCTGGTGCGCTGGCTGCTGCCCGGCCGGCTGGTAGGCAAGCTGGAAAGGAGCCAGCCAGGCTAGCCAGCTGGTCAGGCAGTGGGGAGTGCCTGCTCGCCTGGCTTCTGAGGAGGGTTTTAGCAGAATAAAATGTGTTCTGAAGGAATATTTTAGTTGTTGTTGTTCTCTTGAATCAGCATTTTGATCAGAATATTGTTGATCACCTTGAGTAATTTACTGTAGAAGCAAGCGAAATGGACTCAGGCTCTGGTCTGGAAAGCTCTAATTTTACTTTCTCACCGATTACCTGCAGGGTCTGAATTTAGTAATCTCTGGAGATTGAAGTACAAAAGGCTTTTTTCCTGAGCTGAAGGGCTAGATTATTAATTCACACATAAATCTGTGCATAAGCTACTGAGTAGGGGCATAGGAAGCAGACTTTTGCTGTGGGAGTTGGTTTTTGATCATCCTAATGAGAGGAGAAACAATAATGTAGAAGACATGTTACACCATGGAGATTTCATCTGGCTTCTGCAGTTGGGAAAGAGCCATGAGCTGTGAGCTCTTTGGATTGCTTGGACCAAGGCTGTGTCAATTCCTAGTGCAAATTTTGACCAATGAAGCCTTGGAGTGAGAAAGAAGGAATCCCACACATCTCTCTCTTTTTCAGTGACTGATTATGCACTTCCTAAAAAGGCAATGCCTTATCTGATTTTTTTTTTTCCTCATTTTATAGCCTTTCACATGTGTAGGAACTATTTTCTTTTTTTTTTTTTTTTTTTCCTAGGGGAAATATAGAGCCTATCTTGCAATGTAGCATTTGGTATCATTTATTACTGTTCAGATCCTGAGCAGTGTGAAGTCAGTATGATACAATTTTTTGGAGGGCTTGAAACAACTTACTCCATTTGAATGCCTAGCCTTGTGTGTCTACTGCTGCCTCTTCCTTCAGTAATTTCACATACTAAACTTATTCTTCTGCCACTTACCTTTAGTATATTTTAGAAGATTCTTTCGTGGACTTTTATTATTATTATTCAAAGCTGGAAAACAAGTTAATGTGTTTTTCCAGAAGATAAAGATGTGGTAATTGTTTACAATAGATGTCCATTTAGCTCAGTGTAATGTCTCTGGTAACAGGTGATTAAAGAACAGTAAAAGAAGACAGTA